GGAATCATTCTTGCTCTTACTTTTGCGAGTGAAGAGAAAGGCTGCTGATCTAAGCAAATTTTGATAGAGGGCGGATTGTAATGGCCTAAAGACTGTTCACAATCTGTCATTGTTAGTATTTATGCAAAGTGGATAAATGACAGTGAAACCAGCAGTAGATGCCAAGGTGTTGGACGTGAAAAAGGACATCGGAGATTGTCCTACTTGGTGCAGCAAAATCGGTTCGAGAGAGTGGTTCAGCTGACAGTCTAGTATAATGCAAGTCCAAGTGCAAGTGTTTCGGAACATAAGGTTCAACGGGCACTGGTGGATATTGGCACAGGAGTGGGACACTGCACAGCAAGCATCCCACTCCTGTGCCTTTGGCTTTGGCTTTATAAAAAAATTACTCCTGTGCCTTTGGCACTGTTGGCACAGGAATGGGACACTGCACAGCAGATGTCCCACTCCTGTGCATCTGTTGACGAAGCGTCATTGTCAACTATGTCCGGGAACATTGAGACTGGATCATAGGTAAGTGGAAGACACTCGTGCGTGGTTGTACGAATCATGATTTTTCATTCATCACATCGATGGTCATGTCAGGGTTTGCCGTCTTCCAGGCGAACATTTGCTCCCCCTTGTATAGCAGGTCATATACAGTCTGGTGGTGGTAGTATTATGTTTTTGGGGATGTTTTCTCATGGACATCTGTGAGACTCTTAAGGCCCGTCTACACGAAGCAATTTTCTCCGCCGACTTTCTCGCAGAGCAACAATTTTAAGGATCTCTACATGCACCAAAAATCAGTCATGTTCTCTGCCTCGATTTCAGAACTGGTGTTCACTGCTCACTAGCGTACGATAAAATCGGTGTCTCTAGCCAATAAAATTGCTTTGAGTGATCACAGGCTTGTCTCATCATTTGGAATAATAAACATGGCTGCATTTTGTTGGAGCGAAACTCAAATTTTTCAACTAATAGATTTCTATAGAGAAAATATTGTGTTGTGGGGCACGAGTAATGTAAATTTGAAAAATAAAAAATTAAGGTATTCTCTTACTTTGGTAAGCTCTGTCTTCGCCATTACTTTATACAGGGTGTCCCAAAATGACCGCATAAACTCTGCACAGTTAGATTCCTCGTTGGGAGTACATAAAAACTGCCCAAAGAAGAAACACCAAGTACAACTGTCCTGAGAGCCATTCAGGCAACAGATATGGTCCAAGCAGGCGATCCTCGAGTATGGGAGTTAATCAGGTGACGAAGTACATAGCTTCTCCGACACCTCCTATATGAGCGATCAATAGCCCAGTGATAAAGAGCAGAGCAGGTTTTCTCCGTGCATTGAGATCGTGGGTTTGATCACCCACCTTAATTTTGGACTTTCTGTGCCTGCAAGGACTTTTTAATTTAGTTTCTCCATCACTAAATTCGAACTACATGACTTAAAAGTCACTTTTTATTTTTTCGCCTACGGGTGTGGTGTTTATTGAATTTTAATGCCTTTCTTTTTATTTTTTGAATGGCCGTTGGCACATGTTTTAGATCTGGTGAAAACTTTAGTAGTTGCATGCCAGTTCAAAAGAAAGTCACAAGTCACAAACTCAGTTTTGTGTTGAGTTTTGCGAAAATAAATTACAGCCCAATTAATACAATATTGCTAAATTTTATTAGCTGATTAACTGATAGAGTCATATGATCATAGTTTTCAGACTGTATTAGTTATTTAATTATGCTGATATTAGTTTTTTAATGTTCAATAAATATACTAAAGACTTTGCACCTTTATGATATTTCTTATTTGAAATTTTTGCATTGAAATTACACTGTTGCCTTGTAATGTAGAACTCTTTACTTTTTATTACTACTCTTTACTCGTACTGGTTTGATATTCATGACGTTATTGTCTATTTATTCATTAATAAAGGCTTTGATTTAAAGCACAGTAGTTACTTACTTTTTCTGAAACATGGTTATTTTATTATTTCAAGATTTAAGTGCACAAGTAGGAGTGCCAGAAAATTAAATTAAAAATAAATAAATAAATAAAATAAAAAAAATGAGTAATCTGTGTACTTATTAGTACACAAAGAAAAAGCATATTTTTTTAAAATTTTGCTGCAAACGAAATTTAGCAAAAAACCGAAATCATGCGGCATCATCTATAAATACTTTCTGAATTGTATCGTGTCTTCAATATGCAAGCAGGAGCAGGGTATTACGAAGGCACCATGAATTTATGGTCATTTGACCGAATTTCTGGTCCAAACGCATTTTCTTTCCCCCCCCCTTCTGTAGCAGTAGCTCAGTTCAAAATTTTAGCTGCATCTATAGTAGCAATTTAAAGTAAAATAGTCATCCATTATTTTGACTATTTGACAACATCGTAAGCTTTGTTTAAATAATCATAGACAGTGTGATGCTGTAGAGTGTGGAAACACTTCTTTTCACAGTGATTGGCTGAATGAATTCCTGTACTAATGAGGAAATCATTTCGTGTGGACAGGCGAGCTAAGTCGGCTGAGGAAATTGCTACGTGTAGACGGGCCTTTAGTTGTCGTAGAATAGACCATGAAAGCTATGAACTATCTGAACATAATTGTGGATCGGTTGGACCCTTACATGGCATCTATTTTCCCACCTAAAAATGGAATCTTCCAGAGGACAACACCCCATGTCACAAGGCTCGAGTTGTGTTAGAGTGGTTCAAGGAGAATAAGGATGAATTCCAATTAATGTCCTGGCCGTCTAACTCACCAGATCTTAACCTGATAGAGCACATTTGGGATGTTATGGAGCGGCAGCTCAGAGAACTCGAACACCATCATATCGGAGTATGTCGACTTTGCATGATCACTACATGGGTATTTGGAACAGCCTATCACCAGTCATCCACCAAGAACATGTAGCATCCATGCGAAAGCAAGTTGTGACTGTTTGGCAGGCCGAAAGTCGCACAGTGCATTATTGAGTAGGTGGACATTATGTTTTGGCTCTTCAGTGTATATATAAGTTATAAAACATAATTGCAGTGGACTGAATAATTAAATGCTTTAATAATAAGGTTATGAATCATGTACATGTGTAGATAATTTTGGTGAAATTATATGTGAAATTGTATTTTTTTATATAATGTAACATAAAAATCTAAAAAAGCTATGCTTTGTCAGAAAAGTAAGAATACAGAAGAACACGTATTTAAGTTTGAGTAAATGGCTATCTTGGTAAATTCGTGAGCTATTGTCAAGCTGGTGATGGTTTTGGCGATTGATTTTTATCGCCAAATTTGGTGAGAAATCTCCAAAACTGGCCAAACTTGGCAGCTGTTTGCTGACATTTTGGTCCGCCCCTTACACAACTCTAATAATAGTTATTGTAATTGAATAACTGTAATTAATGTATATATGCAACTGGAGTTGTATCCAGCCCTCATATGCCTTCCAGTAATTTCAAGTACTAGAGATTTCTCGGTGGCCGCATGAAAACTGTATCAGACTGGAGAAAGATCTACTTTCAGTTGTTATTTCAGAACTGAAGTCAGAGTGTGGAGATATATGAGAGAGCTTCACCTTTTAGATGCACTTTGCATTGTATTGTGTTTAACGTTCTTAGTAGTTTGAAGTGTGGCTATTAATTGTACTCTGTGGTACTGTGAAGAGTTGCAAAGTATTTATGTGGATTGTTCTAGAACTGTACTGTGTTCCTTTTAGTAAAAATAAATTTTATCAAGCTATCATCCCTTCTGCATTCAACCTCTTATGAACCTATACACACACAACAACAATAATAATAATTAAAGACTCTAAATAATTAAATTGGAGTGTTAAAGGATTGAAAATATTAAATAATTAAACAGCATATGTTCAATAACATAATTAAATTCTTAAATTCCTAACTTTCATTCAAATTAAGGTAAATTTTTCAAATATTCATCCATAATAAAAATAATAAATAAAATTACTATGTGTAAGAATATAAGCAAAACTAAAAAGGAAAAAATAATACAGCAGAAAGTACTATGTGGGTGACCCTCCCACTGTTGCTGTAAGATATTGGCGTAATTAGCAGACTCATAAAATTTATCTAAATGTATATTGAAGTTGACGAAAGGAAATCCTAACTGTTATACTGTTTGATTTTTTTTTTTTTTTTTTTTCTTGGAAAGATGTCCAGTCAAAAATAGCCCATAGTGAAACCAACAGAGCCATTTTCGTATTCTAAGAAATGGTCTTCAAAGGAAGGAAATACCATTTAAAATATTTTAAGATTCATATTTTTATAGGAAGAAGCTCTTAGATTATAGTGATGAATTAGTGATGTAGAGTGCCAATTTAAGTAAAATAATCCCTCAATGAATTTTGCTATGTTGTTAAAATACTAGTTAATAAAAACAAAACTGAATAGATGTAAAGCTAATGGTTAATTTTATACCTTTCATGAATTAACATTTTTTCTCTTTAATAAGAAAAGTCCCCCCCCCCAAAAAAAAATCTTTTTTCTTTCTTTATTGAAATCCTCTCTTATAAATTGTGGCATAGCATTACTCACTTTTTACTCATTTGTTTATTTTGAATTGTCACTGGTAATATAAATTCTTAATAAAGCAGCTTATGTTATTTTTCATGTAATGGTAAATATAATCTGTATAGTAATTATTTGTGAAGATAAATTAATTTACAGCAAAAAGAAAATCTTTTACGCAAGCACGTTACTTTTATTAGAATTATCTCAGTTTTTTTCAAATGTTTTTATTTTTATTCTTTGCAGTGCTATCAGTCTGTTTTAGGTGCTCTTAATTTTTCAAAATAAAGTGATCTTCTATTCTATGTAGTGCTGTCAGTCTGTTTTTAATTTTTCAAGATAAAACAATCTTCTACATGTTTCTAAAAATTGTTAGAAGGAAATTATTATACTTGAATTTTTCAATAGATTCCTTACATATTTTTTAAATTTGTATTATTTCTTTTCATTCTGGTTTTTATGTTCTCTTTTAAGAATACATTATTTTATAATTTTAGAGCTGTTTGTGAACATGCAAAGAAAATTTTCCCTAGTAATGTTACTTGTCAGACTGCACATTCACTTGCTTTTGCAGTTCATGGTAAGAGGTAAGTAATAATTTATATATAGTAATACCTTCTTGAAAAAAATTTCTATGAAACTGCTTGATAGTACAGCACGTTGAATTACATTTAAAGCATATTTACATTTTTACAAATAAGGTTATATGAACTGAATTCTCTTCTGTGATAACACTTTTATTTACGTCTTTATCATCGTCAGTCTTTCATTGCATATAGAGCCTAACTTATCCATATGCCAAATGAAAATGAATTATACATTGAGCAATCTGTGGGCCATCTGGTGCTCAACATTGGCATTACATATGTATATATGTAATGCCAATGTACATATGTATATATGTAATGCAAAATAAAATAAAAAATGCATTTAAAATTCATATCATGTTCAATATGGATTAAACCACATATCTCCTCTCCCGCCCCCAAAAAAGGAACAGAAGAACAGTGTCAGACTGCAAGAAATATGAAAATGAGATTTATATTTTTTACTAAATTGTTAACAGGGTGTTGGTATAATGAAGAAGTAAATAAATAAAACAGCCTACTGACACAAAGTTTAAAATTTAAAAATAATCTTAGAAAAACAGTGTAAGTTATCGGTGTCTTTATCAGTGCAACACCTATAGACTGAAATAAGCAGAGCCAAAAATGCAAAATTGAAGGATAATAAACATAAATAAATTAAAAAACTATAAAAAATAAATAGATAAAATATTTTGAGTAGATTGAGTCCTAAAATAAAATTTATAAAAATTTGCAAAAAGAATAATCCAGTACTTGAAAAAACAAAATCATGTGCAAATTGTTTAGTCAGAATTGGAAATAACAAAAGTGTATGCAAATTTTGAAAACATGTATGCTTATAATATATACTTTATGTATATCATGTATTTATATATTTATAGTATATATTGGTGATGATTTATTTAATTGTATATAACTTGATATTAGATGAGAGCTTGATTAGCGAAGGCACCAATTCACTTTTTAGTCATGGCCAAGAAAAAGAACTGCATAGATCTGACTCAGTGAAAACCACAACTGTATGGTTAAAACATCATTTTTATTTTGAAGAGGAATAGTTCTCCAGAAAGTACATTTTTGGTTAATTGGTACAACATTAGGTATGCTAAGCACGCCCCCAAAATTTTACGATACATAACCTCAAATAGTGAAGAATAGCTAGCAGATGCTAAGCAACACATTGCTGGCAGGAAGGTAAATTGATGAAAGAGGGTGTTTCTTTAGTTGCAGTACTACTTACAAGCTTGAAAAGTCAGTGTTTTAATTCCAAGCATCGAGCGATTGGGCAAATGATTTCGCATTGTAATTATTGCAGGAAAAGCATGATGTAATATGGTGCTGTAACATGATGTAACATGGTGCCTTGAAGAGGGGATGTATGCAATTAAATTTGAGAATTTAAAGGACCATTCCAGTTAAGCAATAAATTGTTCTTCATATTTTTATATTTACATACATACAAATATATATGTATGTTCCATAATGCCATAAAACACTTTGTACAGCTTTGTAGAAACATTTGAATAAATGAATATTTAAACCAGTAACAATTTAGAAAACTGAAGTTAAGCATTTAGTAATAGCAGGAAATTAAGAAACTGCAGTAATTTATAAAAAATCTGTAAATTCATATTTGAATGCAGTTTTTCATGAAATGATTTGCACAGAAGAGGGTTTTGTTTAGCCTTCTCTTCAAGAAGAGCCATATTCTCAACTATGGGTATTTTACTGTATGCAGGATTTCTGAGGTTAATACTAATAAAATGTCTATAAGGGACATTGTCATGTTTGCTATGAAAAAAATTTTTCCCTTATGTTATTGCTGTAATGTTGTCATTATAAGATGAAGAATTGATTTTAATGATGTCAGTTTAAAAAAGGGTAGTAAGAAATATCGATACTTTCTGATTATCTGAACCTCCAGTTTTAACATTCAGCAGAATTGTCAAATTTTTGGTATATTTTTGAATTTTCATGCAAGACCACCCAATCCATGCAAGCATATTCATGCGTGTGTTCACATATTAATGGATCTGTATGCTTTATATTTAATCATAATTTTTTTTAATATCAATGTCTGTAAAAGTAAGAATATTGGCAATATAAATTTTTCTTTTTTCTTAAATTTCAGATTTTTTATAAAAATGTTTTTTTTTTTTTTTCCCATTATTAAGAATATTATCTCTTTTTACAAAGAGAGTGGTACATGTGAACCATAAAATTAAACAAGTAAAAATTTTTCTCCAATGAATTGGTGACCTTGTGTGGGGGTGCTGGTAGTCAGAAAGTACCAAAGTAGTCACCACAGTGGTGATTTGCATGAGTGAAGCTGCAGAAGGTTGTCAAATTACCAATGAAAATGCTTGTTACTCACATCAGATATTTAGGCGTGTGAAATATGTAGTTTAAGAAATACAAATAAATGAATCATCAGTTCAAACATTAGTTACAATACTGATTACAATTATGTATTTAAAAACATAGCACTTTTAACTCAGAAGTTGTAAGTTATTTTAAAAAGTTAGGTGATACTTTTTTCTTTTAAGCTTTAACATTAGTGGCGACCATGACACGACTATTTCTGTAAAGATGTTTCAAGTAATAAAAGGTTTTAAAAAAGAAGATTTGAAACAAGTTGTGGAAGAAAAAGGTGAATGTTTACCACCAACCATTACAATAGCAGTTTTAAAGGAATTATTTTAAACAGTGCAAAATACAAAAATGATCCTGAATTTGTCCAAGATTTACTAGCAACTGCTATTTTGGATCGAAAATTGTTAGAGCAAAGTGAAAAAGATAATCTGGATTATGATTTTCAAAAAATGAGAATAGAGCAATAACTTCAAAAAACAAAAATGGATTATGAACTAGAATTGGCAAGAATCCAAGCATAGAATCAGAGTGAGTCATTTCCATCTATTTCTGTTTCAGATGTAAATAGTTCGAAACAAAAGTTTACTTTGCATAGATTAGAATTTAGACAATTTGGGTATGATATTAAAGACTGGCTTCCTTTCTGAAGTCAGTTTGAGCAATTTTATAAAGATAATAATATTGCCCCTGAGGATAAATTTCAGTACTTAATTCAAGCTACCTTGTCGGGTTCCTGCGCTGGAGAAGTTGTCGAGAATTTTCCGTCTATCAGTGCTAATTATGAAAAGGCTGTGGAAAGTTTAAAATCCCGTTTTGGTAGGGAAGATATTTTAGTCGAAGTATACATTAGAGAATTATTGAAATTAATCATAACTGTTCAAACTAAGGAAAAATTTTCATTAACTTCTTTGTACGATAAATTTGAATCTTATTTATGTGTTTTGGAAACGTTAGATGTGACAACTGATAAATGTGCCTTTATATTATATCCAATAGTTGAGGCTTGCTTTCCTGCAGATTTTCTTAAAAGCATGGAATCATAGCAATTCTTTCGACACTAAAACGGAAGCAAAGGGTTGATTAAACAATTTAATGCAGTTTTTGAAATCGGAAGTAGAAGGAGAGGAAAGAGTATGCTTAGCTCTAGCTGGTTTTGGTTTAGGGAAGCATCAAGATAATAATAATAATAAACCAGTAAAAAAGAAGCATTCTAGTGCAGAATGTTTACATAACAAGACACTAACAGCTGCAGCGCTATTGACAGCTGCTTCTGGTTCCAAGGCTGGGAATCGTGCATTTTTTGTGATGGTAAACATTTGAGTTCTGACTGTTTTTCTGTGTAAAAAATGAGTTTATTGGAGAAGCAAAAAATTTTAAGGAAAAAGTTTTGCTGCTATGCTTGTTTATCTACAGGTCATACAGTTAAGAAATGTTGAGTTTTCTTAAAGTGCTTGATTTATTCTAAAAAGCATGTGCCTTTAATGTGTGATGTGCTTGATGATTGTTGTACAAATCAAATCTGTACAACCAAAAAAAGAAGAAAAACCGACAGAGGGCGACGTTAACTTGTCCAATTTCAAAAGACATGCCCCTAGAGTTTTTCTTCAAACTTTGAAAGCGAACCTTATTTCTGCTGGTACACAGAAGACTGTAAGATTACTTTTAGATTCAACTTCACATAAATCATGCATTTTAAAGAATGTAATGGAAGAAATGAAGTATTTGCCAGTTCGTCAGGAAAGTATGGTATATTCTCTTTTCAGGAGTGTTTTAACAAATGAGTTGAAGCATAATTTGCTATAAAATAAAATTAAGAAGTTTGAATGAAAAGTTTACTTTCAATTTTGAAGTCTTGGATCAAGCTACAATATTCAGCCTATGTGTAAAGGTCCTGGGATTAAAGAGCTAGAAGAATATAACATAATTTTAACTGATGTTGCAGTTAATTGCGAAACTGTTTATATTCTCGGAGCTGACATAATGGAAAGGTTGTTAACCGAAAATAAGAAAATTTTGGCTTCAGGTCTTGTTGCTGTAGAAACTAGTTTAGGATTAACATTAATGGGTAAGGGGCCAGTAGAAGAAGCTTCTAATGAAATTTTAGCAATGGCAGTGACATCAATGCTTATAAATGAAGAAGTTTCTATGGAGATTGGAATGAATAGAAATCAATGATCCTGTAGAAAAGAAATCTAAACATGAAGTTGATCTTCAGACCAAAGAATATTTTTTAGAAACCGTTACAGTAAATAATGATGGTCGGTATGAAATTTGCTTACTTTGGGCTGATGATGAATCACCTTTACCTGATAATTTTAGTTTAGCTAAAAAGAGGCTTGAGTACACTACTTCGAAACTTTTGAATTCGTTAATCAACAATATGAAAATGTATTTTTAAGTTGGATTGATGAAGGTATCATAGAAAATGTGTCCACTTCTGAAGTGAACTCTTATGGTAATTACTTACCTCATTGTCCTGTCCTAAAGGAAAGCAGCAGTACCACACCTATTCGTCCAGTGTTTGATACTTCAGTGAGGTTGACATCTCTGAAACAATGCTTGCAGTGCAGTCCTAATTTGACCAAACTTATTCCAGATGTCCTACTGCAATTCAGAGAGCGGCGATA